GTTAAATATAGCCTAAAAACTTTTGATGAAGTTCATTTTCGTAAACTTAACAATGCTTAAAAAAAAGAGTAGGCGAAAGTAAAAAGATGCTAAATAACAATATTAATCCATTTTTGTTATGAAAATAATAATTTTTACAAAAGTTGAAGAGTTGTATAATAAAATTCTTTTAATAATTATCAATATTTTTTTAGCTTAAGGCAACTTTATGAAATTCTTTTGATAATGTGCTTTTCTTATTTATTTCAAGGGCATGGAATTGTTTCTTTATATATATTTTTTTAATATAACATTAAGTGATTGTCCCAATGACCAATTTTAAATTAAATTAAATTTAAAAAAGTATTTTTTTTCAGTGCACATACATTTTGTTCAATCTTTCTGATATTCTGCACTGGCATTTTGAACTGTCACAAATACCACACGTGTTTGGTTCTTAAAAAATACACATTTTGCCACTGCACACACAGTGATTTAATTCAACTTTGAGCCCTATTTTTGGTTGACATTCTGCAGCAGCAGGAAATACTGTCCACTTGTCCGGACCATCTGCGAATCAATCAAGTGGAATGGGCTGGCGGAGGGTGCTTTTTTGACTCCAGGACTCTACTCACCGCCATCAGCGTGGGCAGGGACATTTGCATGAACCAGGACACGTCCAGCCTGAAGCCCCGGTTCGTGCGCATCAGCATCATGCGGATGAGGTGGCGGAACTCCTGGGACTCCCCGTACCATCGCACCTCGTAGAAGGCCTCGCCAATCTGCTCGCTCTGCGGATGGAGATTAGTCACGCAATTAGACATCAATCAGTGTGGGGATATGGGATTCGGGGGACGGGGATTCCCCCGTTACGTCACCCACAGCCGTCGTAAATCGCTGCCCATTGTAGCAGTACACAACTATCTGGTAGCCGGCCGCAATCAGGTACATGGTCATCCGGATCATGGTGATGCTGCTGTTGCTGCCCTGCAAAGTGGATGGTGAATTCCCCATTGAGTGAATCGCTTTTTGGGATTCTTCGGGTATCAAGGCCTTACAAATCCCTCGCTCATCTGGAACAAAGCCATGCCCCATCCGAAAAGGCTCAGCAGGAACTGCGAAAATGTGATGTGCCGGAAGCAGTCGTTGACCTCAGCTGCAAAGCTTTTGAAAAGGGTTAAAGGTTATGTACCGGGGTAAGAAAATATACAAATAATAGAAAACCACTTTCAAATAAGATTATGTAAGAGAACAAAATATACACAGATAGAATTATGTGACCTAAACTATAAACAATGGAAGTAATTATTATAGTTATTCACTTAGTCTATTTAAGATATTTTAAAACTTAAAAAATTATATTCTATTTTTTTATTAGGTTAAGATTCCTAACACTTACTCCGCCACTCGTTGATACTGATAGATGCAGCATCGTAAATACTCAACCCTGCGTTCTGGAGGAACTAACTCCGATGTAGATAGTTCTATCATTTGGTTAAGGGATTTCATTAGACCCACGCTATGAAGGCATAAGACAATGAAAACTCCATCAAAGCTCACAGCGCCTATTCAAGCAAATATGATAAACTAATTTCTGAAAAAATTATCATTTTTATCTACTCACACATGCCGCAGATATATAGAGAGCAGGTCTCCAGATACATTTGTATATAGTAGTAAGGAAAAGTTAAACCTTTGTCTTCCCAGGCTGGATATAGTGAAGGTAAAGCTGAAGTCGGTTGGGGAGATTATTATAAATCGAACAACATTCTTTTGAAATTTAATTTTAAGTAAGTATTCTACTTACGTAGTACAATGTCATAGGTTCCCTTGGGACGGGTGAAATATCGATAAAGGTTGCTGGCAAAGGAGTTGATGAAGTAGTTCGAAGTAATGCAAATACAGCTGTACAAGTAAATAAGAAGTTGCCTTCGAGTACTGGCCCAGTAGCGATCCATTGTGGATTCCACTTCCTGGCGAAGCGTCTTGATTACAGGTAGATCTATGGAAATTTAATGGAAATAAAATGAAAACAGTGTGTAAGAAACATACCTGACATACTGTCGAAAAGCTCGCACTTTAGGAGTAATTCATGACAGCGGGCCCTTCGTAATAGATCGTAAATCTGCCGGTGGGCAAATAGAAAATACCACATCTTTGCTATCGAAGTGAGGAACTGCAGGGCAGTGCTAACGGTCTGAAATAAAACATATAGTTTTTGATAGAGTGATATGGAATATAGGAACCTACCTCGACAATTCGAGGGATATCCTGAATATATCTCAAGAACATTTGCCAATGGCCGTAGAGCGAGGCCAAGCTACTCAGGCTAAGGATGATAGTCCAGCTAAGAGGGTTACAAAGCGGATCCATTAGTTCCGTACTCTTTCCATTTGAAATACCCACATTCTGAGCACCTGTCCGCATCGCGAGGGATCCATCAGATTGAATCCCACCGTATAGGCGAGTCGGATCATCTCCCTGATGCTGCGATAGTTGCGCAGCCTCCTCTTCCGGTGAGTACATGTTGCCTAATCGAGGACTAATTGTGTTAATCGTCCATTTATAGGGTCTATCAGGGGGGCGTGGTTCGGGGCGGGTTTTAATTAGATAGTTCAGCAGCAGAGGCAAGAAACCACGCCTCATTACGTGGGCAAAGTTTCACTAAATAATTGAAATACTTTGCGCTGGCAGGAGAAGAAGGGTGAACGATGTGATTCTCGACATGTCCTGTGGTTAATTAGCCAGACCAATAATTAGATCCACACCAAGTTCAGGCAATATTAAATCCTTTGAAAGCTCATCGGACTTTTGGTATAAACTATCAAGCTTTTATTTTTTGCGCAAGAAAAGTTTCCAGAAAAGCTACGCTACAATAAGCTTTAGGATGAACAAATCTTATCAGAGGTTGTAAAACAGAATATGTAAGCAGAAATGGTATATGTAGATGTACAAAATAAATGTTGTAGTGTCAGGAATTTGTAGAATTTTCTTTTACTCTTTTGATACTTTCTACCTGGAGCCTGTTAAAAATCTTATCAACACTTTAGCATTGGCAGCTATCCCAACCGTATCCTCAAAAGGCATGATAAACAACACACATTTGCAAATATCTTAGTAGAAAAAGATAAAAACACTTGCTTTTGTTGACAATTGATGTAAGAAAAATCCATCGTTGGATAAATTCTGATAATGATACCCAGCTGTTTTCTCATAAAGGTCCAAGATTAATGGGATATCTTCGCTTTATCGTAATAAGTTTGTAGTCCCCTTAATCTGTATCATGCCTATTTATTGCCCTTACTCGCGATCAACCTTCTTCAGTTGAAATTTATTTGTGTAGTTAGAAAGATCTCAGTTAGAAAATGGTCAACTTAAGTATTTTTAATTTAAATGACGACTGTCTTCATCATATATTGAAATATCTGAGTGTCAAAGACCTTGTAAACCTAGCAGAAACCTTTACAAGGTTTCGTCAGATTATATTCGAAAGATCGCCTGCCATTTTTCCAGTATTCCATGGAAACGATGCAGATGCTAGCAAACCAGTATTATATTATTCATCGGTTGGCATTAAACTTTTCAAAACCGTAAACAATAATGTGAAAACACTGGGGGTTACACAAGGACATACTTACGATAAGGAAGATCTTGGAAACGTCGTCAAAGATTTCCGTATTCTTACAAAGGCAAAAAACAAAATCGATTTGCAGCATTGCCTAGAAGAAATACCAAAACTTGAGGATATATTTCGATTCTCTTCTGATGGTAAGTACTATTATGAATCCACAGAAAAATTAAATACTAAATCATTTAAACTTTCAGCTTGTGACTATTTAAGTGTAAACGTTCCGTCTTGCATTTGTTACCTTGAGGAATTCTTTCAACTAATTCCCGATTTGCGGGAACTACTACTTTTAGGATATGACAAATGCTCCGATTGTGTTAAAGTTATTTTGAAATCTTTTCCAAAGTTGGATGAACTCTGGATCCGAGGGGCGTGCCTTAAGCTTCGATCGGATTATAAATTGATATCGCAGATCAGTTCTTTAACCAAACTCTCGCTGAACGTTGGTGGACCCAATTGCCTAGCACCTTTGGCCAATTTAACAGAACTTCGAACTCTATATGTGGATAGTATCTTTAGCTATATATCGCCAGGAGAAATAATAGAAATCATAAAGAACTGTAAAAAGTTGGAGTTTCTATACTGCTACTATATCGATCATGGACAACAGCCTCATGATTCCATTGGAAATCTCTTCAGGAGGATTAAATCGCTTCGAGATCCTAGCTTACAAAGTCCCCTTAAGCTGCATACATATATGGATCCACCTTTGTCTGAAGCAAATGTAGGTGTACCAAATACCTTTAAATATTTTTTAACGTTATTTCATTTAAACTTTTTATCCAGGAAAAGCTCATCGATAATGCCTACTTCGAATATCGCCAACAGGTCTAGGAAATTACACATTGTTTGCCAACCCTCCAATAAAGATCAACTGTAAAATGTTACTCAATGATTTATATATTTTCATGACTTTTCGCTCATATAGATTTAAATACGCTTTAATAAATTTGTATGCTTGTCAACGATTTCCGGTATTCCATTTAGCTGATTTACAATCGTCGTCGTCCTCAGACTACATTAAAATGTATGTATCGTTAGGTAAATAATTTAAATATTAATAACATCTTGCGTTCGCACGTGTATTTGCTTTGCTCATTTCCTTAATATATCTCGTTAGTTTTATTTCAAGTTCAATTCGTTTGCTGCTGGCGTAAATGTTTTTAAAAAATAACGGAACTGAAACTTGCTTTTAAGGGCTTGTATATGAAATAAATATTTACAAAAGGTACAATTAAAATTATGCAGTGGCGGAATGTGGCCGGTGCTCACCAAAAAACCGTGTAGATAATCCTAAATGAATTGCTTACAAAATTTTTTGATGCCTCAAGCATTTGTTAATACGTACACATATTTCTAAAAATGTTTAACTATATTACTTCGAGTTCTTGGCTTTAACATTAGTTATCGAATAGTGTTTGCTTTTGTTTTTTTTTTTGGTTTAGTTCTGTTTTTGTGTCAATGCTTGTGTTTTCTTATCAATTCGAAAAGCGGACGATGAGACATTTTATTATCGTCTCTTAATAAAATTTGTGTAGTTTTCTTACAGTGTGATGTCTGTGGTTTCTGAGGGTGTGTGGGTGTGGGTGTGGGTGTGGGCGTGTGTTTGTGAGAGGTGTTGGGTGTGTGGCTGTGTGGGTGAGTGAGTGAGTTCGTATTCCCTTTACTGATATGTTTCTAAGAGGCTAACTCGCATCCTGGCTCATCGGTGGCCGAGCAGAGGCAACTAAGCAGGACAAACCCAAGCCAGTTGGACAGATCGATCGGGGTAACCCATGGAGGATATACTAGAACACCAAAAACCAAAACACTCTCGCACGCATACACAGAATGGAATGTGGACAAACAACTTGGGTTGCAATAATTGACTAAACACGCTCTTCGAACGGGGAAAACGCCCCCTCGGGTGAAGATTTCCAATTTTATTGCTTACGTATTCGGAAAACGGAACTAGGGAACTAAACATCGAGTCAACTGCCTAGGGTAGATCTAACTAACTGAACTAACTAACATACGTAACACATACACGCTCCATAACTAACTAACAGCATATGGGTGGGTACAATACCATTTCAGGGGATTCGGAATCTCTGCAGACTTCGATGGCACCCCTCGAAAGGCCTTGTCCCAGCCGCATAATAAATAACAACATCTACATCCAAGCAATATTGCTATTACCCAACCAACCTCAATCTCTACTACTCGTTCTGCAAATCAGATTTTATCGGGGGACTATGCCAAGCCAAGCTCTATCGATAAGCCCTAAGCCCTACACACACGCACATGTACTTATAGATCTAGAAACGAACTGGTTGCCCAACGATTTTCAACTACTTTTTGACTTTTTGACATTATGAATTTGAACGATACGCGAACGATACGAACGATTTACATACAGATATATGCATATGGCCATGCGGATCTAATTTATGGGGTGGGGCTGTCGTATCCCCCTCCTCGTCTATAGCCTCCTCAAGCCTCCGATCTGCGGGGTTTAGCGCGCGGTTTGAAAAATAGTTCGAGCTATATACTTATTTATCGTTTAGTTTGTATATATAATGTGTAAATATGCGAGCTGCAATTGCGATGCGTGTATATTCTATATTGTATATATTTATAAGTTGCATTCAAAATATGAATATTTCCGTTTCATTTGTTGCTATTTAGGCTTTTCTGGTGATTTCGTCTATATATTTTTTCTGTTAGCTGTGTCCTGAAGGCGGTAAATAAAGGTTGCTCTGTACACGAGTGGATTGGGCTCTGCTATTTACACGGTAACATTACTTTTAGGGTATATTATAATAATAATATTTTTGTTAGGCTTTTTGTACGACTTGCGCGGCTCTGCAAACATTTCATTGCAGTTCGGGTAGCTCTTCCGTTTTCATTTTTAATTTTTCCTCTGTTCTATTTGTAAAAATACTCAGATCGAATACCGGGGATCTGCCAGGGACCGTCCCACCATCTCTAGACTAGGATACTGTTCATTGCTTTTATATAATTCACATTCCATGTTTGCTAACTTTGCTATCACTTTGAGTTTTCCCTTTGTATTTTTGTGTGTTGTGAGTGTGTATGTGTGTGGGGGTGTGTGTGGGGGTGTGTGTGGGTGTGTGTTGTGTGAGGGTTTCCCTTTGGAGTAGGTTGTCATTTTTTACATTTTTGGGGTGTCGTTTTGTGTGTGGGTCCCTAATTGCTACGTGCCCTCGTTCCCCGGCCTGTTAGCCTCCTCGGCGTCGCGTCCTTGGAGAAGGGCCCTCTGCTCGTCGTTGGCCTCCGCCTCGCCCTCCTCCTCGCGATCCTCCTGGCCAGGAGCCGCTGGAGCCTGGCTGGCGGCGGCAGTCGGGGGATCCTCCCCAGCTCGACTGCTCACGGGCGATGTGAAGGTCGTCTCCGAGTCTGTGTGGCAAGAGGGGTAATGATTAGTCACTTGGTTATACTGGTGCATCATCACAACCGATTACACAGGATGAGTGATAAAGATTCCTAACCCATTTTATGCGGAGTATCGGAATTCTAATTTTAACTATTAAGTTTTCCATATTCGACTTTATGTTTTACTTTAAAGGATACAAATCAGCATATTAAAATGATTTTATATCATTAAAAGCACTTTCATATTTTGATTTGATTTATTTATTTTAAGGTTAATTCGGAATTATGTATATCACATAACATATTTAATATTTTGATCTCTGGCATCATAAAATGGATTAGTCCTTATCAAGGTGCTAAACATAAAGCGGCTTGTGGGTGGTGATCATGTGTGTGAGGTGTATGAGCTCGACTTCTAAAGCTGTTAACATCGATCTGGCGCTCGGATTATCCCAGCTGGGTGCTAAACGAAATCAGGACATTCGACCGGTGAGTTTGGTGCGGCACGATCAATCAGATCGCTCTTGGTAAGCACTATATAGATCGGATCGGTAATACTAACAGATCGCCCGCCCGACGGCCTCCGATCTCCGTGGAGTGTCAGTGTGTCAGTGTCAGTTTCTGTGGGTTCATGGGGTCATGCGGATGTGGGTGGCGATGGGTGTTGTTCGGGGAATCAGAAGGCGGCATCGAAGACGGTGACTGACAGCCAGCCAGCAAGCGGAGGGAAACGGGAGAGATAAAAAGATCGTTGTAGATGATATCTGGTTTCGTCATGGCCGAAAGAAACCCCAGGACGCACTTACAGGATGAGACAGGTAGAGAGAAAGAAAGAGAGAGGGAAAGACAAATGGAAGGAAGAAGAGCGAACTGGCAGTGATGGAAGGTATACCCTATACGATATAATAATCTACTTTACGTTATCTAAAACCATAAACGATTATACAATAATCTACATAATCATATCTTCAAGATATTGCCTCTAAGCTGATAAGAAATGATACAAATATTGATTGATTGATTAAGACATCTTAAAATTTCAAAATAAATCATCATACATCCATATAAATTATATCAAATAGTTGTATATCCATTAATTAAGCCCATTTCATTTAAACCCACTTCTGAAAGTAGTACCCTTCACAAAGCTCCCATCACTGCCAGCAGGTCACCTAGTCTGATCACCACCTACCCAGACTGCTGTCCCTGGTCTGCTGACCATCCGCGGATCCTGCGGACGCGGATGCGGATGTGGATGGAGGTGCTCGCGACAGGAGTGGCTTCACCTGGCGCAGAGCCTGCTCCTCGGGATACCGGGGTGTCTGGAACTTCGTGGGCTTCGATTGCAAGGTCGCTGGTACTGATCGCTGGTGCATTAGGGTGCGGTGCCTGAGGGGTGGTGGGGATATAGACTTAGCTAAAACTGAATGAGGTAATTTATTCGGTGAGTAATCGCTGCCGGATTCGCCCTGTAAAAGCTATGGTTAATATTTGTAAGAAGTATATATTTGTTAGGGGATTCACGAACCATTACGGTGCCGTTGTCGGAGACGCCGGAGCCGGACATGTTGTCCGCCAGGAGACGCTCGCTTTCCGGATCGGACAGGACGCGCGAGATATCAGACTTGTTTTTCAGGATCGACTTGGAGCGCCGGTGGTGCTCCAGATTGGGCGAGGCGTCAATCGAGTCTATCGATGAGGAATGCTTGCTCTCGAACTTGGCTGTGGATTGAGGAGGAATTGGTAAATATTGGAGTATTGAATCTAAGGCCATAATCCTTGAAATCTCTTATTCTTCATCAGTTTTACCCACCTTTGGCGCCCACATTCTGTATGCCAAACAAATGCTGGTTGATCAGTTTGGTGGCAGTGGCTAAGCTCTTGCCCGGCATGAAGCCCGAGCGCTTCTTCTTGGGTCCCTGACCGCCGAATCCGCCGGATCCGCTGGCCGCTGGGCTGCCAGATCCGCCCGCTTGTCCCCCCTCCGGGCGGCCCCCCGTCTCGTCGTCCAGCCTGGTGTCCTCGAAGCGGGCCCGAGGGCGGATGCCCCCCAGGACGCCTGTGGCGCCACTTGGTCGCATGGCGGTGAAGCTCTGCTGGAACCGCGTCTTCCGATGCTTTGGCACTGAGTTCTCGTTCAAGCTCACCCGGCTGCCCCGCTCCTGGACATCGAAGCTCTGGTAGACATCGTCCAGGGGACTCAGACCGCCGGCTCCTCCGCCTCCGGAGGCCAAGTTCCTCAGGGCCGTGTCCCCGGAGGCGCTCTTCTTCACCTGGGCACGTAGTACACCCGAGGATGTGGTGCTTGGCAGGCCCACAATGAAGCCCGTGGAGCTGCTGATCCCCTGATGCTGCTCCCGTTCCAGGGGATTTATGTACAGATTATCCATATCGATGTCCAGGGCACAGGCCTCGTCATTGAAGTCCGCGGTGAGATCTCCCTGGGAGAGGAATGGGTGGGTCTGACAACTGGCATAGGTATCCGAGCTATCCACGCTGGCCAGATCGGCATTGTTGTTATTGCTCCCATTGTAGTTGCCACCGAACAGCAGCGATCCATTCGCACCCACTCCACCCACTGTGGTGGTGTTGAAGTTGTTGTTGTAATTGTGATTGAAGTTGGACGAACTGCAGATGGTGGCCCCGTATCTCAAAGATACGTCCAGGGGCAAAGCGATGGTGGTGGAGGTGGTGGTGCCATAGGACGAGGATGTGGACGAGGATTGCGAGATGGCGGGCAGAAGGACGGCGGCACAGGACGTTGGCGGCAGCGGGGGCGGCGGGGGCAGGGCCAGGAGCGGACCCTGGAGCGGTGGCAGAGGGGCTGGCAGGGGGGACAGGAGTCCAAAGGCTCCCGCCTGACGACTCGCCTCCGCAAGTCGCATCTCCAGGCAGATCGGTTTGTGGAAGTCGGAAGTGGGCAGCGCGATCACGCCCTCCGCATCGGTGAACTCCTTGAAGTCCTGCAACGAGCGGGGGTTGGGAGGTGATATGGTTTTAGATACAGTCGGGTCAATAAAATCAAAGGGCGAAGGTAAAGCCGATATGGTAGAGAGGTGACCTTTATTTGAAACAGGTTTTTAATCTTTGTTAATTTTTAAAATTGAAAAAAATTAGACTCCTGGAGTTTTATTTTATTTTTGTCAATATTTTTTTAAATATAATTATTTTAATTTTAGTTTGGGCTTTATCATATCGGCTTTATCTTCACATGAAGTAAGATCTTTTAGACCTGTTTTTCAATAATATATTTGCGTGTTTCGGGATGTTTTCTGGCTGCTTGTTAGTGTCTGATTTAGTTTGGTGTACCTGTTGTCTGGAGTTAGCTTTTTATTTGTGTGCGATTTGTTTCTTTATTATTTCGCTTGAAGAACAAAAATTAACATGCAACTAGGAGGCGCCAAGTAAAACTCAAACGTGCAGCGCTATTTATTGTTAACATTTAGTCATATTTATTAAATTAAAAAAGGGCAGTGCGAGTTCTCAACTTGTTATCTGAGGCAGAGAGAGAGAGAGAAAACTGTGATTACTATATTTAATAAGTATAGAAATAAAACTTATTTAGAACATTTAAAGAAGAAAATAAAAAATATTTATCTGAACAAACTTGGGAATTGTATGTCGTATTTTTTTACTTTCCCTATTAGATCTGAAAAGTCCCCAAGTTGAGCAAACGCATATGGTTTAATGTTTCGATATTCAGACGTTAGAACGTCTTACTTACCAAACCGCTAGCAGTTGCCTTCGAAGTGGTTCCATTACTCGAACGTTAAATATAGTTAAGAACTCTAATCGATTTTGTTTTACCGAAACCAAAAATGAAAAATTCTAGGCGAGCAATACGGAAACAATCAGTAGAAGAAGTGGAGTGCCAAAAAGTCGAGTGCGAATAGGTAAAGTTGGTAAACAAAAATAGATTCGTTTGTTTGTTTTGTATTTTTATTTGCAGAATTTGTTCATTCGATTTGTGGTTTTCTTTGTTTTGGTTTGGTTGAGTGATAACAGGAAATAAACAACTAATATGAAGAGAGCGTTAACATTTTATGTTCAAGTAGCTAAACAATTGTATGTTTGGTTTGGTTTTCATAAATATTTTCGTTGTTTTTGCTGGTTTTCTGTTGATGTTTTTTTGGCGTTTGCAAGTTGCAGCTACTATACTTAAGGCTTAGGCCATTTTGCTAGGATATAAATAGGTATTAGGCTAATTGTAATTACGTGCTTAGTGTAAATAAAAAGAATCGATTTAAACTTTCGTCAAGCCCTCAAGCTCCGGTCACTTGGTACAGATTGTAAATTAAATTAAATTAAATTAAATAATAACACATGCTGCTTTGCTTTGCTCTCCTCTCCGTTCCTGGTTGCGTTTTAGATGGTAGATTAGGTTTTAGTTAATTTAATTAAATTCTTAGAATTCGCTATGTCTTTCTTTAGCTTTCACGTCACGTCACGCCAGGCCCGTTGATAACAGTATAATAATAATCGTAGTAGTAATAATAACATTTAGTTGTAATTTGTTGGTAGTTTTAAGGCTAGTTAACGTCTAATCGTAATTTGCAGTTCCGGTCACGCATTCGATGCGCCCGGCACACACTAAGTATTTTCCGATTTCTATATCGAACTCGTGTCGGGGTCTTGAGAATATGGCTAAACGCTATTCGCGCGCAATGGAATACACTCGCCATGACATCCCGGCAAACCCTTTAAGAAAAGAAACGAAAAAGAAACAAGGTCAACATAAAATTTTCATTTCCAATCCAATTCCAATCTCACAGGAAGCCAAAATGAAACGAAAAGAAATCAAAAGTGAAACGAAACGATCTTAAAAGTGGGACAACACTGGGTGTTACCATCTCGGGGTGTTACCGCCTCATAGATAGTATATGTCGATGGTGCCCTCCTCGAGCATCCGCTTGAGGGCCATATAGTTCTTGGGCGAGGGCGGCGGTCGGGCCAGCCGCTTGATGCTATACTCCTTATCGTGGAAAACACAAATGCGATCCTGCAACAACGTTCGTTTGGTTTCGGTATCGGTATCTTTATCGCTGCTCTACCAATCCAACTACTTCGGGTCGAGTACGGGGTCGCCTATTGTTTAGCAGGACCTATGCAAGAAGCTCAAGTCTCTACTAATTTATTAGAGGGGTGTCACAGAAATTCGTAGATACTTTAATCTGATTTTTTAGGGATTGTTAAACATGATATATCAAAACAAAATTATAATATATTTGATATTAGAACCTATCTAAAATCTTTAAAGAAGATTTCTGTGACACCCCCGAATCAAAAGTCTTGTCTGGATCGGAGTTCAATATGCTGGGGTTAACAATTTCACAGTCTGCCAATGGCGGTTATGCGGCGATATATACAGGTTGAGCATGATTTTAGTTCGGTTTAATAGAGATCAGTAAGAAACGTAAACAAAGAGCAATGATAAGGATAATCGGGGTGCAGGCATGCGACTAACACATAGCACATTACATGGAAAAGCGGCTCGAACATTGCAAACAGGTACATTGAGTGGTCACAGCTACGGGGATAGGGATTTGGATTCAGTAGGATCCATTTTCCCCGGTTACCTTGGTGGTGCAGAAACAGCACTCGAATTCCACGGGCACATCCTGTTCCAGGTTGTCCATCCGCTGGTTCTGCAGGTTCTCCAGAGCCACCTGGCGACGCAGCTCGGCCACTTCCTATAAATAGTTGGGTGTTGGGATGGTGGCATCACGTGAGTGTTTCGTTTCGTTTCGCATCGATCGTTAACAATCGGAATATATATCTAGATTCTAGGCTTATGTACAGTAGGATCACCGGATGCAGGTCATGCCGCATGCAGAGTAAGTCTCGGGATTAGAAGTAGTTAAGTTTTTCGCTTGGAATAAGGTTAGCAAGAAAAACGGTATAGTAGTCCTGTGTGCATGCGGCTCAAGCTGTGTGAGGGTGTTTGGTGATTTTAGGTCTACTGTTCTACTGTTCTATTTTTTCTTCAGGGAAACTTCTCCTAACAAAATGTAAATCCAGTAAGTGAAGTCCTAAAAGTCATTATCGCCTCGTTTTAGATCGGGTGAAAACTTAAAAAAAACTTATGAAAGAGATACTGCCGAGAATCTAATATCCAGCTCAATGGTTGCTGCCGCAGAACCCGGCTCAAACTGGTCTAAATGTGCTCTAAATGCGCCTAAGCAATCTCCATTGGATCGGTGAGTTCAAAATCTTGTTGGGGAAGACATAAATACTGAATTCGATGTCCGTACAGTTCATCTATCTATAATTATCTGCGCAATCGGCATAGAAGCTCAACCCAGCGGTATGAAAAATCGGGAGAAGTTAAAATCCTCCCTGAGCGGTGATTATAGGGCGAATAATTATGAAAGTGTGGAGCGAAGAATGGAGCGGTCTAATGGTGAAGGTCTACTGGATGCAGATCCGATTGGTAAGTGGAATTTTCATTCGGTTTTTCATAAATAGTATCTGGAAATCCCTGCTCTTCCTAGCTTCCGGCATAGAAACTCAGGCGTCGGATCAAAATGCCCTTAACACCTGCCAAATGGTTCCGAATGTGGCTGTTCCAGCTGCCCCTGCTGCTCCAGGTACTCCCGTTGCCCCCATAGCCGACTTGTACCAATCCAACTGGCAGCCCCAGCAGACGGAGTTGCAGGCTCTGCCGCAGCAGCAGCAGGCGTGCCCTCTAAGCAGGATCACCCAGGGAACACCCAATGCCTATGCCGAACAGGATGAGACGGAGCAGAGGCGCCAGGAGCTGCGCAATCTCGTCCAGCACTTGTACGTGGCCCAGGCGAGGGTCCAACTGGAGGCCACCGAGATCAGGAAGGCGCAGTCGGTGGCCTCCTCGGCGCAGGCGCAGCTGGAGGAGTCGGCCAACCATGTGCGCAGCATCACCGCCTCCCTGCACACCGCCCAGCAGGAAGTGGCCGCCTCGGCTATTCGGGCCCAGATCGCCCAGCTCCAGTTGGCGGCCCACGATCAGCTGCTGTTCGCCGCTCGCCAGGATGTGGATGCACTGTCCTCGCAGATGGTGGGCCTCCAGGCGGCCGAGGGCATCGTCCAGCCGAAACTCACAGTGGATCTACACGCTCTGCTGGACAAGCTGAAGCAGCCTCTACAGCAGTATGATCGCCCCACGGCGGTTCCCATGATTGCCCCCAGTCTTCCGGGAACGCTGGCCCATCAGCAACAGTTGCTCCTGCAGCAGCAGCAGCTGGGACAAGGCCTCAGTCAAGGGCAGGGCCAAAGCCAGGGTCAAGGTCAGGGTCAGGGTCAGGGTCAGGGTCCTACGAACCCCACGAACGGAGCCGGTTCCAGCGATTTCATCAGCCTGCCGAGGGTTAATTCCTATGCCAACTTGGAATACACTTAGCTTTACATCTATGCCTAAGAACTCTTTTTTATATTTTGTAAAAGTTTTCTTTAGCATTATCTTCTTCCATAAAATTATATATTTCCCTTAAATTTGTTTGCATGGGGTTATGTTAGTTCAAAAATATTTATTTTGTTTTAATTGTTTAGTATTTCATCTTTTGGGAACCTATAGGTAAAAAAGTTAATCTATAGATGGTTCATTCATTTAGACCGACATATTTTCCTAAAAAATGTATTAGTATTAAATCTCTGTAATTGTTTGTGACGAAATGTGAGTGTATGGTTTGGGGAAAAATTAATCAAATTCAAAGGCATTCTTCTTTTGTTACAAATTTAAAAAAATTACAAAATTAAATAGCACTTCTGCAGATGAATTTTATTTTGTAGTAAAAGTTATGAGATTAGCAGAGCAAAATTATTGGCTTACAGACTGAGAAAATGTTAAAGGCAAAATGACAATAATTAGGTCTAAATATATATTTTTCTTAAATAAAAAAAATTATATCTACAATGTACACATAAAACACTTCTTCCAAGGCGGCAGCGGCAACTAAAATTCTTTTGAATCTTTAGCTATTCAGATGATTTTTGATTGGCAGACATTTCCAATACGGAATATAGAAATGAAATCCATTCCTGGTCATTCGTTAAGTAAATCAGCACCTATAGCAAACCAACTTAAACCGAAAGCAAAACGATTTTAAACAGATTTAAGCTATATGTCGAAGAATTGGAAAATGTTCAAAAATAAACTGGGTTCAAAATCAATGGTTCTATGCAGCTTTTTTTGGGCATTCGATCAGATAGGCATTCATGTAGATTTGGCAAATCCATAAATGCAATTGCACGTTCGCCCAAAAAAATAATAAAATATTTGTAGCATTGGTTCAGCCACTGAAAAGAAGACAATCAATCCGCAAATCCATTCAAAATTAATCAGTTGGCAAAAATCGAATACATATTAAAGATATATAGCTGTGGCACAAATGCATTCGAGTTGAGTAGAGTAGAGTATTAGAGTAGGTTGAGTTCTTTGTGTATACTTTGAATGTACCTCCTTACTGCGTCCCCGTAATATCTAAAAGTTGAAATGTGTGAATGTTGTTAAAGAACTTGGTATTGTTCTCAAGAGTCTTAGTTTTCTTATCTACTATTTTTTCTGGTACAATTTTTGTGGTGATTGGAATTTGTTTGATTAAAATCAAGAGAGAACATGAAGCTAAACAGACTAGGGATACTAAAAACTACCAAAAGAGGCCGCCAATGGGGGAAACTCAGGAATACTCAACCAAAGGATACCGAAGACATATGTGGTATATAAGAACTGAAACTCAAATCAAATTTACCCGACTAACAGTTGGCAAATGAGAAGGAACCAAACGTGAGTAATATAATTGGGATATAATTAGAATAATTTGAATATATTTCGATCCAGTTCAACGGCTTCACATTTACTAATACATAGGATTACGGTTTAGGAACTTTGAAAACATTAAGATATTCAAGAAATACGATTGCGAGTATGGCAATGAGTAGGTATCTCCCCTTAATTCGCAGACTTACCCCGGGCGTGATCATCATCTGGATGGGCAGTCCCTTGGCCTGGGACAGGTTGTCGTCATCGACCCCGCCCCCATCTTCGCCGCCGCCTCCCTCGGCGCCCTCTGACCCCTGGGCGGTATTACTGGTATTAGTGGTATTTGTGGCGGTGGCCACTGCAGTTGCCGCACTGGAGGCGGCCACCATGGCCAGGTTATTGGCCACTCCCGATCCGGATCCACCTCCGTTGGGGGCCTTTTGCTGAATCTGTTGCATCTGCAACATCTGTTGCTGTTGCTGCTGCTGCTGTTGCTGCTGCAGCTGCAATGCCTGCTGCTCGCGGCGATAGCTCTCCATGGCCATCATCGAGGTCTGGCGGGCATTGGGATTGTCGAAGCTGTAGGGCGGTACTGCATCCTGCTCAGAACTGGATCCGCGACGCTGGTCAAACGAGATGGGAAAAGGTTAGTGCACTTTCTAGTCACGAAATGAAACACACAAATTCAATCTACTCTTTAGGCCCTTTAAGGCGAGACGTACTTACAACACACGATTGCAATTTTTTGGAATGTGGAACCAAGGTAATTATGTTATTCGATTCAATTTTAGATAGGAAGTGGTAATACGTAGAATAGTTTATTGCATATATTTCTTTGAATTTCTTCTCAGAATAGGCCATTAACACATAACCAATATTTTAAAACCCTAAAAAGAAAACGCGGGGTTGTTCAGTTTTTATAAAACTTCCGAATCAATTAAGAATTATAATTTTAAATAAATTCCTATTCTTGGTTAATGGCTTAATTGTTTAAATCAGGTCACCTTAACAGTTATATTTGTTACGCTATTTGCATGTGATACGACGAAATATCGAAAGATCACGCCCTAGTCCGGCTAAAAAATTCCCGTTTTCTTTCGCGACTTCAGAGTTTTAATATAATGGTGACCCCAACAACTAAACTTTTTAGGTTATTCCTACGGAAACATACCATTTGTATGAGATGTTACAAGATCGCGCTAGGACACATCCTAAGTCAAGTAAAATTGTTCTGGTTTTCCTCGGAACCAGAGTTGTCCAAGAAAGGTGACCCCAACAACTAAATTTCTACCTCTATTTCTACAGAAACGTTTTTATAGTAAAATGTGCATAGCATATAACGATATCGCTCAAGATCCCATCCTAACCGAAGAAAAATTGTTCTGGCTTCCACTGAATCAGTGTTGTAGAACAAAAGGTGACCCCGACGGGGACACACTCAAGAGATTCCTCGGGCAGGACTTACGTTGTGCAGGTTGGAGTTGCGCAGGTTGGCTACGTGGTCGTAGTTCTTGTAGCACCCGGTTCCGGTGGTGGCCGGATTGCGTCCGCTGGTGGACTCGCCCTCGGTGCTGTTGCCGTCCGTTTGCGAGAGATTGTGGCCTGTGGGCGATCGGCGGAGCGCGTGGGTTAAACGGTGCCAATTTTTGAGTGATCGTGTGTGACTCTCGCGCTTTTCTGCTGGGCATTCGTGTGTGGGTGTTTCAGTGTGGTGGGTGTTTCAGTGTGGATGGGTGTTATCGTGTTATCGGGTTATCAGGTTATATGTTCAGATTCACGATCGGTTGGATTGTTTGTTTGTTCGATTTCACGCAAAGAAGCCATGAATGCATTTTGTCGCCAGTTTCGTTTCGCATTTGTTTAGCCGACAGACGCCAGTGGTGGTATATACACAGGGTTATATATTTCGTATATATAGTTTTGAATGAATAAGAGCGGGTTTTGGATTTGTTTGAGGTTTGTTCGGAGCGCAAATGAAGGTGTTTTATTTTTGGTTTGGTTTTTCGTTTCAAATCAAAAGAGGGAAAAAAGAAAGAAAAATGAGTTTCATGAATGTATTTATTTTTCGCTATATTTTGGTTAATAATTGTTACGACGACGATGACGACGGCGACCACAAAAACGTTGGGGGCTAAGTTAAGATTGGTTTAGTTATTTTTAGTGGGATACAGTAAGAACAACATTGAAAAACGACGTCTATAGTTCAGTGTTAGGGCTTACTCTTGAGTGTGATTAAATGGGTTAGAACGACATTTAGTTAACTGGTGATGCTAATGGCTGATAAACACTATTAGAGCTCTAGTTTATAGTTTGATTAATCATAAAGTTAGTAGCTATATAACTAATAGTAAGAGTTCTATGGAAAATAGTAGGTACTGAGTGGAAACGGAAAACAATTTAGTTTTGACCTTAAAGTTTTTTAGTTTATATAATCGGAATAACTATTAGTTTCATTTTAAGTGAAGTAATAGTTTTATACAAGGTAAGAAATTCCTGTAAAAATATTGAGATTATATATATTACAAAATTGAGGAAGGCAGATTGATAAAGTGGTTTAATTCACTGATCTTAAGTTGAATAGCTTGGTTCGGTCAAATCCCAAGAAAAAACATATTTATATTAAAAAACATTGAATAAAAAAATATTACCAAAACTTGGAACTATTTGTGATTTTAGTGAGTGTCTGAAATGTCAAGTGCTTTAAATGGACGCGGCAAAACAAATGTGCGAAACATTCTTCTCTTAATTGTTTTTCTCAAATGGACAAAATTCCGATTCATGGTCATTTACGCCATTCATGTTCAGGTGTGAGATCTTGTATAGTTAGACCGAACTACAAAAAAAAGGTAATGAGTGAAATGGAAAAGAAAACCTTCTGGTGATGAGTCAGTATGAATTGCGAGTAAAATATACCCCTTCCTCTGGCCTTTTCTGCATTCAAGGCTTGAGTTCAAAATCTGGTCAAGCTTTAAACACCAAATATATATGGATATATATATACTTAGACAGTTGACGGAATGCTTGGATTAGCTGGTACAATAAAATAATACAGCGCAGTTGGGTTTTGGTTTTATTGCTAGTTTCACAGACACACAAAGTTTTTACGGCTTTAACAGTAGTACACAAAAGTACGAGTACAGTACACAGTTATTCATTTGGGTTAGTACGAGTACGAGTACGGGTACGAGTGAGTATTCATATTCACTATATGTTCTTGTTCGATCATACATGGCTTGAGCATAAAGAGAGCGTACACAGTTTCTATAGATTAGTTCATAGGATTAGAGCATGCAGCGCGTTAGATTGGATTTAATTTCGGAACGGAAGCGTTAATAATGTGAAAACGAAAGGTCGAGACACACACACATATATAATTAGGTTAAAGGTAAGAAAAATAAGGGGAAATGGAAAAATATTAAGTAAAAGGCACGTAAAGGCTTTTTGGAAAGTCAGTCCGGTTGATTTTTGTTCAGGATTTGATTTTTTTTCAGGACTCTAGCTTCTTTGAGCGTAATGATAGAAATGTTTGAACTATGTGGAACTGAAGGCAAATCATAGGTAATCGTTCAAATATCACACACAAAAAAGGATTTCAAAATCTGTATATAATTTGTATATAATTTAGTTCGTTCGAACCTCGAACCGCTCAGCTCGCTTATTTATATCGATATATCTTGTTGGGCTTACAATTTAACAAAACTTCAGCTTCGGTTGTGTGGCCTGCTCTATCTTAAAGTATTTTTATATGGCTGCAAACTAGGAGCAATTTGCTTTAAATAAGGCAATTTCTTTTGTTTTCCGTTGTGCTATATGCGTTTTTAGGAACGTATCGCCATCGTTTGCTAAGTTCTCTTGTCTCTACATATGGAACGAGTATATGTATATTTCATTGGTATTACCTAATGCACGCTATATCGCTGATGCGCTCTCTAAATTAAAATCTAAGCTTACCCTCTCACAGCTACAACAACTAATTTCATAAATAAGGCTTGCTCTGTTGTTGTTCGTTTTGGATTTTCACATCTCTTGGGTTTTTCTATATCGATTATGATTTCGATTTGGATTTGGTTCGCCACCTCATGGCGACCACTTGAAGTGCTTTATGTCCATGGAGGGAATTCTTTCTTTCTTTTGACTAATGCGCTCGATAAATGCCTTCTTGGAGTTTACATAGAGGTTAGGCCTAGTTAATCGCTAAGATTTAGACTAAATCAAAATTGTGCTTACGCGGATTGTATTTTTTAGAGTTTTGGCTCTCTCGAATGGCGTGTTGTGTTAGCATTTCTCATATATTGGGTTGGGTTACATGGGATGGAATATGGTAATTCCTGGAAGATTTTTCGCTCACACACATGCTGCCACACCCACAACTACTGCAAATCACATTTGGGTACTTGAAAGTTTTGCTTGCAGACGAATTCGCGTTGGAACCAAATGGATAGATATAGCATAAACTGGCCAGGCAATCGGTTATCAACAAAAGTTACAATAAAACTGAGGAGAACATCAGCAAATTTGAGCGGATCTTCATTTCGTTTACGGCTTTAAATTTCATTTTAGAATTATTTTCAAGTGCTGATGGACATTAGCAAAACTTTCAATATACGATAGTACGATGAAGCATACGCCTTTAGTTTTTTTTGCATCTAGCTCTTACACACAATACAAATAGATGAATGTAAGAGTTAGGTGAAACAATAAAATAATAATAACTGGTTGCCTTTAATTGAGAAAACAAAATGTTTACTAATTTTAGATAAAATAAAGGAATACATATAAAGATACTCAATATTTGCCTTTATTAAATCTAGCTCTTGAAAAAGGTTCAACAAAAAAGAAATCAAACTATGGCAAAGTGGCGTATGCGCAATGCATAATTACGGGTATTTAGCAGCAGCGCGTATGTGTGTGTGACAGCATGTCTGTATGAGTTTGAGTGTCTCGTGTGCGTTTTTGTGTGTGTGTGGGTATGAGGGCGCCTAAAAGCAGTTACATTTAATCACAACATTCAATTGGAAAATAAATCAAAAATGGAAGTACACAATTCATTTGATTTCTGATTGATTCGAAGCTTCAAAGCAAGCCTACGCATTTTGGGATTACTGCTAACCAAATGTTATTCATTTCTCTTTTTTTTTTGATTTGGAAGTACTTTCGCTTAAGTCTAGGACTCTTGTGTGTGTGTGTGTGATTGATTCGTGTGTGTTTGTGTGGGTGTGTTTGTAACAAATTGCATTTGTTGTTCGACTAATTTACATATACAATATAACAATCGCCTGTCATTCTCTTAGCTAATTTCGTTTAGTGTAGATTGTTGAAGGTTGTTTTTGGGGGTCGGGTTGTTGTTGCTGTGGTTGCAGCGGTTTGCCAGCGATCTTGGGTTGATTTCTGGGCGATCTCGGGTCGGTTTCCTAGCGGCTGTCTTCATTGTCGCTGGAGCTGTTCTGCTGCTGGGCGTCCCGCTCCTCCAGCAGACTGCGGTTCAGCTCCTGGATTCTGGCGGAGAGGGCGCGGCGACGGGGCGTGCCAAAGGAGGGCGGCGGAGGCGCCTCGATCAGCGTGTTTTTCTCGCCTAGGTCAAAATCAGCCGCATTTAATTTAATTAACGTTTTTTTTATTCAGTGTATTTATTTTTTGTTTTTTTTTTGCAAATTTTCAATATTCGTATTTGTGTGTGTGTTTAATGTTTTGGGTTTTGAAATGTTCGAAAAGTAATGTTTTCAAAGAATGTCGTGAGCAGAAAGTAGAAAAAGAAGAGCAGAGAAAAGAACACGTTGTAGGTAGATATATTGGAGTCTAGTATTTCTAGGCATAGGCCCCATAACGACTTCGATTCGCTAAATTACAACTACATTTGGCTAAGAGAATGAGCATATACATCGTATGGTTTCATGTGTGTTCGTGTTTTTCTTTATATAAATGTATGTAATCAGCACTTGAAAATTTTCTAAAAATGTTTGTTGTATTTATAATAATTTTTTTTGTTTTCTTTTTGACTTTGGTAATTAAGTTCGAAATGGTAACTCTATGTTGAGCATTCAAATTTGCTATGGTTGTGGCGGAATCAAAACAAGAATCAAGCAATGAGTAGCAAAATGTCATCATCATAATTCGCAATTCTGGGCAAATGTCCAACTGAAGTCAGCAATTAGGCAAACTCAATTTAACTGAAGGCAAAATAAAACCGAACAACGCAACAAATTGCAACAGCAATTGCCTAGCTAATCACTGGATCCTTGGCTTTATATACAGGACGACTCGGGGGGCCTTATATAAACTTTGAATTGCAGCTGTGCGGGGCGAGATATTTGGGGGTTTTATAAATACAATTATGATTTATAGTTATCGAGTTTCGACTTTACATTGTGTATTACAGTACTGCAATAATATTTAAAAGTAAGTGTTTTGTAACTACTAAATAAATTCAATTCTACTTGTAAAGAGTCGTAGGTTTAATGTATGAGATATAAACATGAGTACAAGAATGTTCTTCATTATTGCTTTAATTGTTATTAAAGAGATTATATAAAGTTTAAGACTTAATGAAAACTTCATTTGTAGTTGGTATAATAATCTTTACCAAAATAAAATATATTGTATTTAATGAACAATACCAAATTTAATACCAAATTATTTGCATTCGACGTATTTATTAAACATACATTTTTTCATGAGTTTCCCAATGTTTTTATCAATTTATCAAGTCCCTGGACAGCTGCAATTGCCTATATTCCACTTAGCAAATGCTATATTAAAGCTGAAGCCGTGTGGATTCTCTCCCTGCACTAAGCTGTATATATCTTTACTATAACTTGATAAGTATACCAAAATACACTAAGAGAAAAAGAGAGAACTCCAAAGGGAGGGAGAGAGAGTGTGCTAAAATATATATGGTACAATAGTGTGTAGCTGTAGTTGGCGCGTGTGTGTGTGAGTATCTGTGTTTCGTATCCGTGTGTTTTTCTAGGGGCTATTATTGCAAGCGATTGTCAAAGGCTACGGCTGCGGATTTAATAGAGTTGAATAATACGAGTTGTTGGGTGGCAAAGAGTGGACTAGGCTACGTATACGCAATGTAGTCACCTGGGGCGCTTTGCACATCGAGCCTGCCTATATTGGGGGTGCTTTGTCTTTTACCCTTCGGATGCACGACATTTGTTTGCTTGCCTAAAATAAAACACAGGTCGGAGGGTTGAGAGGGTTAGGGCTTGTCAAAGGGGGCTTTCGGTCGGCTTTAAAGGGCCGTGAGAGATTCCATTGCCTACTTCTAGGCGCGCGGGCTTTTATACAGCAGAGGGTGTCGATTGGGGCGTTTCGGGGGTTCGGGGTGTGTGTGCTTTGTACAAGTGAAAACCCCACTAATTTCCCGTTTAATGCGCTAAGTACAAAAGCATTTGCCTAATTGACCATTATCGTGTGACGCTGGGGGTGTTTTCTGTTTTGTAGGGGTACTGTGGGTTAAGGGCTACTTAAAGGGAACTTAAGAGTAACGCAAATCGCTTAACTAGTTTACAATTGATCAATCGAACGTAAGTCTGAGCTCGGAATAATCAACGGTTCAACAATTTCTATCATCTTACGGCTCAACAGTCGCAGGACTCGCGTCCGACTTCTGTGATTGCTATTTACACGCCTCTAGGCTGGATTTTAGATACAGCTTGGTAACGGAAAAGAAGTTAAACCAATCTGAACTGATAGTAAGAAAAAGCCAGGAACAAAAAAAGTTCATGCCAAAAGTATATAAATATTAAAATGAGTACTTAGACAGCTAACGCACAAGACTACACAAGAGTAAGCAAAGTTAAAGGGAAAGGGATAGTAGGGGATTATAAGGATGTACACAGAAAACATAGGATAGGCGATCAAAACAACTAACTTAAAATCAGTTATGATCCAAAATATGTAGATATTAACATTATTTCTTTATCACTCATTTCATCAAAAGGAATCATCATTTACATTTTCAAAAATTAATTTAATGAATGGTTGTTAGTAGTTAATAATTTTTGAAAAATGTTTCTTGGTGATTCATTCTGCATTCTGAAATATCATATCATATATTTTTCTGTGTAGTTCACTAAAGATAGGTGGATAGTAAGCATAGCATGAGTCGGGGGATCGAGTTAGCAGATCCCTTCAGTCGGCTAGTTTAGTAAATACGTAAGCAAGGCACATTCCTTATGGGTAGTTAGGCTAGGAATAGATCTTACCTGTGTCGACAATCACATCGATGAGATCCATGGACTTGGCGAAGGCATCTTTCAGATTGATATGATGGAAGGAGACAATGCTGCCCTCGCGCTTGGCACGATCGAGTGCCTCGCGACGCTTGAGGGCCTTTTCGCGTCGCATCTGATTCTTATAAAATTCAGCAAAATTGTTAACGATGATGGGAATAGGCAAAGCGATTACCAGAACACCGCATATGCAACACACAGTACCAATAACCTTTCCCAGTGCAGTTGTGGGATAGATGTCCCCGTAGCCAACAGTTGTCATTGTAATACCCGCCCACCAAAATGTTTCCGGTATTGAAACGAATTTTGTATCCTTTTCATCCTTTTCGGCAAAATATGCCAGCGAAGAAAATATGAGAACGCCCATGGCCAGGAACAGCATTAGTAGACCGAGTTCCTTATATGAGTTACGCAGCGTAAAGCCTAACGACTGCAGGCCCGTTGAGTGACGGGCCAGCTTAAGGATTCGCAGGATGCGCATGATGCGAAAGACCTGCACCACCCGACGCACATCCTGGAACTGGTCCGTTGCATTCTTATTCGTTTCCAATAGAAATAACGAAACAAAGTATGGGAGTATTGCCAATAGATCGATTATGTTAAGGCCGCCCTTAAAGAACTTCCACTTGTCCGGCGAGGCGCTAAACCTAAGTATGTACTCTAGAGTGAACCACGTGATACACACGGCCTCAACCATTGCCAATTGCGGATTATCCTGTGGTGTACCGTTGTCAATGTGTTGTAGTTGTGGTAGGGTGTTCAACGTCAGGGCTATGGTAGACAGGACTATGAATAGTATGGATATCACTGCGATAACCTGCGAACGGTAAAGAACAATCGAGACTTTGTCGAGACCATGATTCAGCAACGATTCAATTTCAATGCAATCAAATCACAACGATAATAGGTATTTGTAAGGTATTTCATATTTCATATTTGTTTTTTTTTTGTTTGGTAGGCACATAACACGTTACGTTCATTCAATATCAACTCTGTCTTTTATACACATCAAGTTTTTGGTTTTTAATTAATCGAAAGACACGGTTACAACAATCAGCAAAGTTCTCAGCGAGTTCTCTTTGATTCTGTTTGACTATCTGTTTTTTATGGGGGTAAGTAAACATTCTGTTAGAGTTCTGGTCTCGAATCAAGCTTTATCTGGGGATTGTTAGTCGAAATCGGGTCTGTTATTTCGTGGTAACCATATCGTTTCATTAGGGCAGGGGTTTCGTTTCATTTGGGGTCTTGGTTGGTTGGCTTTCCTAAACGCTTTTTTGTACTTTTCAAAGGCTGCTGTACTATATGTGAAGTATATATTTATTCGTCGTGAATCCTTCTTCATCAAACAAACCATAAAGTGAAATCAAAGGTTGGCAAAAAACGAAAACACAAGAACGTAAAACATGGGTTGGGTATTATTTTGATCCTAGGTCTCGAAGTTTCTGGGGTCTCTAGTCTAGATCAACTCTTTCTCTGGATGGTGTGTGTGGTGTAAGTGGTAGGTGGTTCTGTAAAAAGTGGTTCTGTGGTTAGTGGTTCAGTGGCTAGTGGTTGGTGGTGTGCGTGTGGCTGTGGTTGTGGTTATAGTTGTTGTTGGGTTACTGTAGTGTGAGTTCTTTGTTGTGGGGACAGATCACATGACGCAACACAAGGACATAACACACCTACATACATATCAGCTATACGTGTGTGTGTCTAATTGGTTCTATTATGGTATGAGGGTGAACCAGGGGGGGCACTCCGTCGTTAAATAAGAGACGCTACCCTTGGGGTCTGCAGTCGACATTATCATTATTATATTATAACCTTATTTTCAATATATCCTCAGAAATCACCGATGGTTACGCTCTTTCGCTGTTTGTGTATTTGTTTTGGGTCTGACTTGTTTTCTCTTGGAAAATAATGTTTAGAAACTGAAGTGGTTCAAATTCATGATAGTTCTAGCAGATGACAAAAGGAAGAAATCCAAATCTAATTCAAATTCAAATTCAAATCCAAATGCATAACTTTCGTACCAAACGAGCTAGGAATTACAATTACGAGATAGGGATTCCAAATCAAATTAAAAGGAAATCAAATTAGAAATTTGAAATCGCCAGGCGGTCCATCAAATAATTGCATCTGTCACGGAAACACAAGTACCCCGTGAAATTATGCATTTATTTGCGGGCCAGTTGGATGGATTCCACTCTGTAAACAAACACACTTAAACAATTTTAATTGCTTGGCTCTAAATAATACATTTAATTTACCAAAAACTGCCAATTGCAGAGATTAGATTGAAGTGTTCGGAGGGGGGGGAGAAATGGATTTTTAGGGGGCCGGAACAGGAGGCCTGTCAGAAATGCAGAATTTCAATTGCGATTTCAATGCCAGATGGATTCCCATTGCCACATTAGGTCAAATGGCTTCGTATCGTATTCCGAATCGGAATCGGGGCTTATGTGGTGTGGGGGGTTCTGAGTGTTGGGTGGAATGTTGGGTGGTGTGCGTGTGACTGACATTCGAGAGGGGGTCAGAGATAGAGATAGAGAGAGAGAGAGAGATAGGTTGAACATCTTGGACATGCCACGCCCCCAAGTGGTATGCATAGATAACTCTGTGAGTGTCCAGATCTACCATAGTAGGCCACTGTACGCAACCACGCAGTTCTGGTTTCGGAATCGGATTCGGAACGGGATCTTGGATCATGGATCATGGATCTTGGACATGGGGGTTCTTGGGTTGGGAAAGCTGAATTTCATAGTTCTGCTTCGTTGGATGAGCTGACTTCTCTATATATGGCTTATGGCTTGCTACGTATAGATACAAAAGTTAAAGATACAGATTATGCAGTTATTAGACAAAAGATACATAGTCAAGGAGTCATTACGTAAGGATAAACGAAACGCACTAAAGGATACACAAACTAAGTGAACCAAAAAGAAAACCAAAAAGAGAGAAAACATTTGGATGGTGCTACTTAGCAACGATGAGAAGAAGAAGGAGTGGAATAAAGTCAAAGTACAGATACTAGTTACTAGATACTATATAGTAAGATACGAGTGCGAGAGGGCACGCGAAGGGACTTAGAAATAGAGAAAGAGGGGGATTTGATATACAGATTTGGGTACATAGAGTTTGAGGGGGAGATGTTCTTGAATTGAAGTGGTCCTGGTCTTGGACTGTCAAACTTCGGGAAAGTTAATTAAATTTCCATAGTTTTTTGTGGGGATTCGGGATTGAGCGGGGCGGGGCAGGGCGGGGCGGGGTTTTCAACAATCTACTTGAGATGGTGGTGAGGCTTTACAAACAAATTCACTTTCGATTCTTATTTCGCTTTCGATTGAACAGAATGCATTGGAGTATAGTTTCGTAAACAAAAAATTTGTGTGCGAATTATCACTTTGGCATACTGTAGTTTTGGATTTTGGAACTGCTACCATTGCTGCTCAGTCATGAAGGTGGTTGGGGGTTTTCGGGGGTATGGAAAGGTTTCGCTGGGTTGAAAACTAAACATGATATCGCAATACTCCTAGCTGGCTTACTTGATCACAGTCTCCGGGGGAAAATCAACTCAAAAGTTAACTGAAAATGCACTTAACTCACAGCCACTACAAAGTTCAAAGCGTAGCGAGTCGCCAAAAGCGGTTTCTGCTGCTTGAGGCCTACAAAACTCAAAATTCTTTCTATAAAGCCGCTGACAACAGAGCCACAAGATGTACAAAAAAATGTGAAGCGAGAAAGGAAGCTGAAAGTCGGCGATCCGACCATTGAGGATACTATTGCAAAGTTTAAGGATTTGTATAGATTATTTTAATTTTGTATCTTAAAGTAAACATTTTATCAACATTTTATTCAAAATTTACATATAAATTCAAATTTTTAATTCTAAATTTTCAAATTTTATTTTTGTAACCCTCATCATTTAGAAATCTTTAACGGAAAACACGGAACCTTTGCAATCGCATCAAAAAGGATAACAAATTTGAATTAACTTCCCTGAACCTGGCTGAAATCCACTTGAATTACAAGTAATGAAAAGTCGATGGATAACAGAACAAGATCTCAGGGTTGAAGCAAAGTGAGGAGAAAGGTAAAGGTGACCAGTGAACGAGAAGTGATGGGCTGAGGTGGTGAAAAAATAAGGACGAAAAACAGTCAAAAAACAATTCATGCGACAAGAAAATCGGGGCAAAAGAGTTTCGTCTTAAGTATAAAGAGATATATATGTGATAGATATACAAATTTACAAAGGTTTACAAAGGGCACTCATCGCAATCGCTGTACATACAAAACTAAATCTAGATCAAAAAGGGTAAACTTCAGGTCAGATGAATACCAAAACTAAAAATCACATTCAATTTTAATTTAAAATAGGGGAGTGCAAAACTTTGAGTGTTTTTGCTCAGTGTCGGCGTGTTTTGGTGTGTGTTTGTGTGTATCTGTGTGTCGATGGGAACTAATTCCGGCTAAAATATTTGATCAGGTTTGCATTTGGTTCACGTGGAGTGTTTTTTTACGGGTTGTACGTTTTGTGGTTTCGGTTTTCGGTTTTTCGGTGGTTTGTTGGGGTTTCTCTGGGGTGGAGGAGGTGGTGGAGTGGGTGGTTTTCGGTGGGTGCATGAGTTGGTTCGCATACTTTGTTCGACTCACTAAAAAACAAACAAAATTCGATACAAACGGCTATAGAATTCAGTACGAATCGACTACGAAATTCTATACTAGTGGCATTCAAATGCAGCAAATTTGGTGGGTTAATATTTCAAGTAGGAGATTTTGTTCGATCGATATATAGTTTGGTTACGGGTCTCGTATACCGAAATCAAAAGACTAAACTAAAAGTGAAAACCAAACGGAGTCAATGAACTTTACATTTATACCTTAAGGGCTTTGTATGGAAGATAATTCTCTGAATTAATGCTGAATTAAAGAGGGGACTAAGACTTCGAAGGCACCGTAGACATTTCTCCAAGTGTATAAATTTGTGTGTTTGTGTGTGTGTAAGTGTTTGTGTATTTGTTCAAGTGTCGGAAATTGTAGGTAATCAAAGGTCCAATAGCTTACAAAGGAATTAGGTTAAAACACAATAACAACGAGAGTTAAATAAATTTCTTCCTTATGCAATACACACGAGATTACAACATGACATCAAATATATAGGAAAAGAATACGAGGGTTTATATACGACATACAGATATGTACATATATCATCGCCAATGTAAAGGAAAAGATCAACACAAAAGGCAAACAACTGAACAACAATTTGGATTCATATTTTTCCATTTTCGATATTGTTGTTTCGGTGGTGTGGATATAACAAATAAAATAAACGTTTTTGAATATTCTTGGAGTATTTTTTGGGTATTTTCTGTTTTTTGTTTGTCTTGTGAGCGCGCTTTGGTTTCTTGCTGAGTTGTTTGTCGCTTTCAACGAGGCGAAGATATCAACTGAGTTTTCTAACTGCTTTGGTTATTAGATCAGAGCTAGATTTGTTGGTTCTCATATTTATCATTTCGTTGAAAAAAGGATGTGTTTAGGCGTGGTATTAAAAATAAACTAAAAAAGTACAGAACTAAAAATTTGGTTAGTTTCTTCTTTCTCTCTGACGGAAAATCGAGTTAGTCGTTGAAGAAAAAACAAAATGAAAATACGATAAAAGTACAACTGGCAAAGGGCTCTGGAAATTTTTCATTACCTTTTAAATGGAACTGAAAAGTTTAAAGAAAAAGTTTTAAGTTCAAATAATAATGTACATGGAATGATAACATTCTTTGGAAAGTCCAAATAAGGTTTCAGAAGTTTCTTAGAATTCATTCCATATACTTAACAAAATAAAGACAAATCAAAAGTTGTAACCCTAAGTGAGTTTCAAAATAAAAAGTACATAATTCAAATAAAAATGGAACCAAAAATCGAATGAAAAATTGTAGGAGATGCACCCAAAAATGTTGTAATTATTTCCATTCTCCCACCAATTTCCTTGGTTAAAGCCAAAGCTAACGCAATAAATCGGGGCAAATTATCGGCTGTATAATACAAGCTAAAGCCAAACTGAGGTCGTTTTGAGTGAGTGTTTCGATGGTGATATTTATAGATGTGTGGTTGTGTGCCTGGGTCTTTAAAGCTAAACTTGGGGCTATTTAGATATGGTATGGTACAAGGTAAGTCAGAATAAAGGACTATGAATCCTCTGAAATATTCTGACCTCATCCTGATCCTAATAGAATTTTCCCCCTAGCACATGGAAAATGGAAATGTATTACAACACCGCTTTGGCCACTTCTCCCCAGAGTCCTTTTTCGTAACAATATTTTCGAGGATTTCTACAGCACACCTGCCGCCTGGTCATATCGCTTATTGCCCATTCCCAAACATGGTTACAGTGGGGTGTTTGGGGGTTTTGGGGAGATAACATTAGAGATAAACAGAGAGATTACTTCACCATCATCATCAACAATTAAGAGATATACGTATTAATAATATTCAGAGTAGATATAATAGTTTATATATAGTTGTATGTATACAGGGCTTGTCAATTTCGTAATTATACTGTGTGTGATGTAAAAAAGACTGGATTAGAGAAACGATTAGTAAACAATTTTGGAAAATTCGATTGCTCGATCAGTACTGGCTTGATCTTTTAGCTAATTGGTACTCTCTGGGTGTCGTCGCGTGTTTCGTTAACTAAGACTCGAACTAAAACTAAAGATCAAACTAAAACACAGAATGCATCTTAGCCTAAGAGGGGTGAGGGATTGGTTAGGCAAAAGCGAAAATTATAGGGTGAACTTAAGGAAACTCAATTCAATATGGTGCCGTAAACTCCTCATCTTTCGTTATATCTTATAGAGGTTACTCTTCTCAAATCTCTGGGGACTTCCAAGTTCCGTTCGATGGAGGAAGACTGTCCTGTCCGATCTGTACGATACATGACACAAAAGCTTGAAGCACTTCGATATGGGATATACACATGAGATCAGCCGTATGTACAAACATCGATGTGGATCCCAGGGGATCTGCGCGCCAGGCAGCGGGATATATAGTAGTTAGGCGATATCACATCATATGGTACAGATAACTGGCGGACATTCGAAACGAGTAGCGAGTAACCAGTAACGAGTAACGATTAAAGTATCGAGTATATATCTGTTTTTCGGAGTGCAAGCATATCGGTTTGGTCGCAAAAGCAAGTGATGAATTGGCAAGATTTGTACAGCATTGAGAGTGGGCTTATATTATTGATAGAGATTAGAGAGTAGAGATAGATATGTTGCTGTTATTCTTACACTATATAGTACTCTGATCTGCTCGACGGCTGAGTTATATTACAGAGTGCAGGAGCTGGCGATAGTGTAAAAATAATAGTGACTTTGCACAGAACCAAAGTTCAACTACATAAGAGTAACTCAGAAGGAAATCAAGAACTCAAAATGTTGAATATAAGTTGGAGGAGGGGGATTATTTGTTATCGGGAGTCTGGTTATCGAGAACTTAAGAGGGTTTCTTACGCTTGACATTGACACGGTTCACAGTTCAACGGTTAGAAACACAATACGAACACATCTATGAGAATCTTTTGGGTAACGGTGGGAGGGATTTGGGAGGGCATGGAGAAAAGAGATTATCAATTTACTATCGTTATTTTAGACAATCCAAAATGGACTTCAAGGTTCAAAGATTCGTTTATTGATAAGCTTTTTAATATCTCTAAATCTATTTATCTAAATATTGAATACTAGCTGTTGTACTGATCAGAAATGTTATATCTTGAAAACTAATACAAATCGGAACACATAATTTCCTATCAATAAAATTCGATACAAAATATTGAAAATAAAATTATATCATGAGCGGTATATCATTCAATATTCCAAATATCGGATGGACTTTTAGTGATATCTTTTTTCTCCGTGGGTGTTTTTGGGGTGTTGGATTCAAGACACTATAGACTACCTTAAGGCCGGGGTAACCGACTGGACTTACCCGGGCGGCGAAGCTGGTGTTGGGCTTCTCCAGCAGCTCCCAGAGATACTTCTGGTACTCGGCGCATTTACCTTCGCCGAACTCCTCCTCGTCGCGCTGCCTCAGGGACTCGGCCTCCTTGCGCATCTCCTCGTGGACGTTCTCCTTGCGCTGGTGGTACTTGTGCTGGCAGCAGGACTCCAGGTACAGTTCGTCGACGCCCCAGTACTCCAGGTCATCACTAAACGCGAGCACGCACATCTCGTCGACGATGTGCAGCTTGCCGGTGCGATAGAAGTTCAGGATCGAGCTGAAGCTCTTCGGATGGCGGTCGAAGAAGTACTCGTTGTCCGCGAGCGAGTAGTCGTCGCACAGCTCCACGATGGCCTCGTGGGTGGTGCACTCCCTCAGCCGCCCGAGCCGCGTGTGGGGCAGCCGCTCCAGCGTCCGCCACAGGACCTCGTGCCTCACCCCGCCCACGTTGATGGACACGCGGCTATTGACCGCCTTCGACTGGGCTATCATGAACGGCTCGGGCGGCGGTATGGAGGACATGGATCTGGAATGTGTCCGCTGCAGGGCGCCGGTGGTGTTGCTCTGGCTGTGGGTGGGACCACCGCCCGAGATGGATTGGCTGCCACCTCCACCACCACCGACGCCCCCGCCACCGACGCTGCCAACGATCTGCTGGGAGGTTGTGGGAATCGAGTGCGTTGGTGATGCGACTGGGAATGGGGCGTAGCGAACTTCCTTGCCTGCTGCGGCTGGACCAGATCCAGTGACTGCTCCTGCTCCTGCTCCAGCACCTCCGGATCCTGCTCCTCCTGATCCTGCTCCCGATACCGCTGCCGATACTGCTCCCGATCCTGGTACAGCGGCAAGAGGAAGACCGGCGGATGGGCCAGCAAGGTGGCCGCCATCAGCGTAATCCAGGTGACGAGAAACGAGGCCTGCGGGATTAGCTGGCCCAAGGTGATAAGCAGCACCGCCAGCTGCTGGTAGAGATCCGATGCCGATGCCACCATATGCACCAGCTCCACCGGCTCCCATCGCCCGCTCCCAATCGACATTACCGCTTGTATCGTAGTAGGGCTGATTATCGCCGAGGTCGGCAGGTGTTGCAGCCTGCAGTCCGCGTGCAATTGCAATTGCCTCGTTATGTTGCTGATACAGGATGTCCTGTTGCTGCTGCTGCTGCTGCTGTTGCTGCTGTTGCTGTTGCTGCTGCTTGAGTTGCAGCTGCTGCTGCTGCTGGTGCTGCTTCGAGAGTTGCTGTTGCTGAGTCGCTTGTTGCTGTTGCTGTTGCTGGCCAGCAGCCTGTCCACCTTGCAATTGCCCGACCATTTGTAATACTCCATTATTGGTTTGAAGCGGTGTTGATTCACCCGTTGCCCAGCGTACCGCCTCACGGTCCCTGTCGCGTTCGCCGACCATAAGTCTGCTGCAAGTGGAAAGCTCTGATTTAGTATCCATTAAAGCAAAGAAAGCTGAACGGGACATAGAACTAGTTCAACATTTTACATCGATTTTCATCTGTCCATGTAAATTAAAAATGAAATAATATATCTTCTATCGAAGTGCAGGGCAATATCCAATTATGTCAAATAAAACATTTGTTTTAGGGGACTCACCGCTACATCGCGTCAATTGTCGTCATTACAGCCTCCGATGGCGAATGTCCTGCTCCTGTGTGCGATGTCCGCTCTTTTCCTCTGCCGATTGCTATCGCCGGGGCAATTGATTCCGACTTCCGGGCCCGGTATTATCTGCGGATCTATAAATCGCTCACTTGCGGTCTGGCAGGCTGCTGGCTGTCTCCCCGGATTCCCTCATCCTTGGCTGTGGCTCTGGTTTCCCCTGGTTTTCCCTGGCTTCTGGCCACTCTCGTTGTTATGTCTATGATCACAGTTGTGTTCTGGTTCTGGCCCTTGTTCAGGTTGAGATTGAGATTGAGGCTCAGGCGTGGTTTGGCAGCATTTTGTGGGGGCAATAGCTGCAATTTATGGCCAGAGATAAAAAGACGGAAATCAGTAAAAGTCGCTTATTGGAAAGCAATTATATCTAACCGCATATCGATGGCTGATAAGCCACGTAAATACCGAGCACCTTAATTATGCGTACCGAGTAATCAAACACACGGCGCACAGTGGGGCATTTATGATATGATATCATAGAAATAAATAAATCTAATTCATTTGGTGTTATCTGTTATTAAAATGTTCGAGCAGGTGGCCAAAAAGGTGTACGATTGTGCTTTAATTAAGCTTATTATTATTTATATTCTTACATATATGTCTATATTATTATTACAAAATTGATTCATAAATAAGGAAGTAATGCAAATTTCAAAATAAATTTAAAGGTTGTCAAAATAATTCTATAATACCTACGGAGGTTTATAGTTTTAAAATTCGGAAAATGTGTTAAAGTAGCTCAACCCACTTCCATTTCGAGGTCACCGGTATTCGTTTAACCCATAAATCACCAACCCAGAACCCCTTTATTGAATCCTGCTGCCACGCCCACTGTGCCTGTTGGTAATGAATCAATAGTTGCGGACAACTGATAAGATAGGAAAGCAATCAGTGGGTAAGGTTTTCCCACCGCTTTCCACTCTTCTTTCAGTATTCATTTCCACACCGACTCTGCTTTATTTGTAGCATACATTTCGGGGCCGGGAAACTTGGTGGCAATTATCGCATAATTGCGTATGCAAATGAATGCAATTGTTGGTAAATTCCTGGCCAGAAGAATCGAGGCCGCTTTCCCTTATTTATTAGCGTTAATTTGCAATCGCCAAAGGCTGGGCCTTTGCATTTAAATGCCTATTTTTGGTTTCCCTTTGCTTATTTGGCCTTTGCCCAGATTTCAACCCTGTGATTCAGTTTCTGCCGCATTGCAATCAAATTTGAATTTTTACGCCCCGCCGGAAATGGCAAGTAATATGCCTAACCGTCCGCGAATTTCTCAAATGGATTGCCATGCGTAGCGGCCTGAAAAATGTTAACTGACCTCGGACTACAGTTACAGCTATAGTCGTTCAAAACGTCTTCATTTCGTATTCATTCCCGCATTCGTATTCACATATTCACATTTCGGCCCATGTGAATACCAATTCGCATGCAGATTGCTGATTTGTGCGCCACCTGTCACTCTCGCTGCCCTTTCACCTCGCGTGCCAGGGGTCAGAGTTCGCGAGTTATGGCTGCGACGCAAATTATATAGTTTTGTTGCATTTTAGTCCGACTAAATTGTTGTTTATTAGCTCCATCCAACTCCAAGTGGGTACTCGTACTGGGAGTTATGTAATTGCCGAATGGCAATGCCATAGCTCGAGCAGTCACATTTTTGACAGCATTTCTAGCGAGTTTGGGCTCAAGGGGAATGCTTCTCAGTGGGGTTTGATGGAATAGAAGGAAATTGGGATTTTGTGGCATATTTATTATTATTATTATTATTACGATTTTATCATCAGACAAAAATATATATAAGAGATAAGCTTAAAATATAGGTACATTTATCTAGGATATCGATATTTGCTCAGCTTAAATTATATACTTAAAGCGCTTTCATAACTAGTTTCCAAGACTATTGTACGTTTTTCTTTTACTAGTCAATTTCCAACAATTTACTTTCTAAGGTTGTATAAATATTTATTTTTATGCGCTATAATTACCACATTTTAATAATTATTCCCTTACTTTACCACATTCTACCTTAGCCACCAGGTACTAATTGCGTTTATAGCCATCATTTTTGATTAAATTGAAAGCTTTCACTAGCACTGCTTGAATTTTCCATTTATTTTAATCGCGTGCAGACGAAAAGCAAAAGTTTTTTCCTCCCATTTTATTGCAATTATTTCTGGCGCAAAATGAAACTAAACTGCATGCAAACTCGGAGCTCTTGTTCTTGCAGCTGGCTTTTATGTATTTTTGCAATATTTTTTTTGCTAAGGATGCATGCAACATGTTAGCCCCGCAGCTCGACAATTAATTCTTTGGTTGTGTGAGTGAGTATCTGTGTGTGTGAGAAGTGGCCAACTTCACCTTGGAACCTGTTGAATTGCCTTGAGGCCGTGGCAGAATGCAATTAATTTCCCATTTTAATGAGGTGAGACCTTTTCGTTGTTCCCTGCGAAACTTGGCCAAAAGCGTGAGAGAGGGCGAAAGCCATTTCTTTTGACTGCTTCTGGCCTTGTCATAAAAACTGGGCCAGATAATGGCTGCTGAAATTTATGGCAACACCCACACGCCCACACACTCTCACATTTAGTGAAGCCCATAAATCCGCAAACATAATTTGCTAAACACGTATGCAGAACATTACAAAATGGCCCCTTAATTGCCCTCAAATGGTTTGACATTGTCCATCGCCGAGCAGCCTTGACTTTTCCCAGACATTCTCCCTCAAACAGGGCTTCTCGGGTTACTAAACTGGGCTAAATCAACATCCATACAGCCGTATAGCCATGGGGATATGTTATAAAGTTGCTGGCAAAATTGAATGACAGAGCTGAAAGTCTGAGCAGCCTCATGTGTGATTAATGATTTCTTTGCTTTGTTGACGCTAATTGAAAAATGTTGGGCAAACATTAGCGAAAATAATTAGAAAACTCGGTTGCTATGGGGAAAAAGGGGGCACGACTGATTGCAAATTTAAAATCTGACGCAGGAGAGGCAATCAATTATAAATAAGATGGGATATAGAGTCTAATAAGTAATGAAGGAATTCAGAAATAAACAAGAAAGGAAGTTAACTTCGGCAAGCCGAAGTTTGTATACCCTTGCAGTTATAATTATAAGATTTTGTCCCTCAATTTAAAGAAAAAGTGTAATTTAAACTATTAGAGAGTTCAACTACAAACTCATAGTGGTATCCCACGTCTAAATCGGGATAAAATAACTCGAGTTATGGAGTCTAGAAAAGCAGTTTTGGGTTCCTATACTGGAACCCATTGGAAATACGTAAAAATTGAACATGAAAATGGGTCAAAATTTTGACCCTAGATTTAAAGAAAAGGTGTAATGTAAACTTTTACATAGAGGTATCCCACGTCTAAATCGGGATAAAATAACTCGAGTTATGGAGTCTAGAATAGCAGTTTTGGGTTCCCATACTGGAACCCATGGGAATGTGGAAAAATTGAACATGAAAATGGGTCAAAATTTTGACCCTAGATTTAAAGAAAAGGTGTAATGTAAACTTTTAGAGAAACCAACCACAAACTCATAGAGGTATCCCACGTCTAAATCGGGATAAAATAACTCGAGTTATGGAGTCTAGAAGAGCAGTTTTGGGTTCCCATACTGGAACCCATTGGAAATACGTAAAAATCGAACATGAAAATGGGTCAAAATTTTGACCCCCGATTTAAAGAAAAAGTGAAATGTTATCTATTAGAGAATTCAACCACAAACTCATAGAGGTATCCCACGTCTAAATCGGGATAAAATAACTCGAGTTATGGAGTCTAGAAGAGCAGTTTTGGGTTCCCATACTGGAACCCATGGGAATGTGGAAAAATTGAACATGAAAATGGGTCAAAATTTTTACCCCCGATTTAAAGAAAAAGTGAAATGTTATCTATTAGAGAATTCAACCACAAACTCATAGAGGTATCCCACGTCAAAATCGGAATAAAACAAATCGAGTTATGGAGTCTAGAAGAGCAGTTTTGGGTTCCCATACTGGAACCCATTGGAAATACGTAAAAATCGAACATGAAAATGGGTCAAAATTTTGACCCCCGACTTAAAGAAAGAGTGAAATGTTATCTATTAGAGAATTCAACCACAAACTCATAGAGGTATCCCACGTCAAAATCGGAATAAAATAACTCGAGTTATGGAGTCTAGAAGTGCAGTTTTGGGTCTCATACTGGAAGCCATTGGAAATACGTAAAAATCAAACAAGAAAAGGGGTCAAAATTTTGACTGTCGTTTGAAAGAAAAACGTTAATGTTAACTTTTAAAGAATTCAACCACAAACTCATAGAGGTATCCCACGTCTAAATCAAGATAAAATAACTTGAGTTATGGGGTCTAGAATAGCAGTTTTGGGTTCCCATACTGGAACCCATTGAAAATACGAAAAAATCGAACATGAAAATGGGTCAAAATTTTGACCCCCGACTTAAAGAAAGAGTGAAATGTTATCTATTAGAGAATTCAACCACAAACTCATAGAGGTATCCCACGTCAAAATCGGAATAAAATAACTCGAGTTATGGAGTCTAGAAGTGCAGTTTTGGGTCTCATACTGGAAGCCATTGGAAATACGTAAAAATCAAACAAGAAAAGGGGTCAAAATTTTGACTCTCGTTTGAAAGAAAAACGTTAATGTTAACTTTTAAAGAATTCAACCACAAACTCATAGAGGTATCCCACGTCTAAATCAAGATAAAATAACTTGAGTTATGGGGTCTAGAAAAGCAGGGTATAAAAATACTTTAAAATGTATTGGGTAACTCAGTAAATTAATTCCAACTTAATTAATTTGTTTAAAATGGGACTTTAAATAAGAAACATATTTTTCTTTTTACAAGGTTAATATATCTGCCATTACTAACTTTGACAGACTTCCAAGCACTTTATCAAGAATAAATTTGTAGAACTTTGGACTCTAAGGATTCCCCTGTCCACAGAAACCCCCTCGGACAAGATACATTGCATCAAATGCCAAAAATCCACTTAAGTGCTAAAAGCAGCCAACTCCGAGCTTTTCCATTTGCATATTGCATGGCGGAATGTTTCCTGCTTTTTGCCGGCAAAAGGGGTAGAAAAATAGACCAGACCTTAACTGAAACAAAACTAAACTAAATCTAAGGCCCGTGGCAACAACAAGGCAATGCAAATACAAATATGTACGAAAAGCGTGTCAATGTTGCACAGGCCGTAGTTCTTGTTATGCCAATTGTTGTTCCGCTTGCGAGTGGCAAACATTTATTGCCGACTCTCCAGCGTCGCCATTGCCATTGTCTAAATTTATGGG